CCCATCAAATGAAAACATATATTTCCCTATGTAAGATGATAAATGGAGTTATTGATAAAGTCCTTCCAAATCCTAAAGCATGCCATACCATTGTATGCATCAAGTTTACATAAAAAATTTACCATCCAAATACAAGGGAAATGCAAAATTAATTCTTGTATACTCACTTTACCTCTTGCAATTATCCAAAAAAGCGTAACTAAAAGAAGTAATGGATATTAATTTTGCTATCTAATGCTCCAACATATGATAATGATGATAACAAACTTGATCTGTTCACATTACATGTTTATTTTTGCATGTCTACTTAACGTCTGAAGCAGGATCAGTAAGCAAATCATAACTCACCATGAGGCATAGTGTTGGAAACCATGATTTTCTAAAGTATTTTTCTTCCTAGCAATCCAACTCCTTATGTCCTGTAAAAATCATGAATACACAAACTAATGAAAAAGCTCTATAAGCTGTCAATAGAGCTCCAAATTTGCAGTAATCACCAGCATAGCTCGTTTTTTTCTGCAAAAATAAAAAAATAATTCCCTCACATAGATTAATGCTTATTATTGTAAATTTTATTTCCTTTATTCTTCACTTCTTTAGTAAGTGAAACATGTACAATCTTACGCAAATTCGTGTTATTTACTTTCAAGTTGCAGAGTAGGAAATTACCTTAGATCTAAAAGAAACTCCTTCGGAATATAATTGATTCCTACTCTCAAATCTGTTGCAGCACCAAGTTCAATCATTTTGAACGCGCAAGAACCTGCTTCAAAGTGACATTAATTACAACTTACAAGTATGCAATCAAACTCAACCATTGTGAATCAGGTGAGCACTTTGTTTTTCAAATAATATGTATATCCATACGCCTATGCAGTTTATGACAAGGTACTTTCAGTTGCTGATCTAAAACCTTGGTAGGATCAACCTGAACCTCAAGGTTTACTCATTTTTTCCCCTTGATTTGTTGACTTTCAACGTTTAATTCTTTGTTCGATGTTAATTTTTACACATATTAGTACACACACATACTGTTGAATAGTACAGTAGAATGTAGGATTTTCACCATAGTTTAACTGTCCTTCAATGTCTTTAACTCCTACTTTTGTTCTTTGTCAATAATCATAAAAATTCCGAAATCTCATTAAGCCATATTATAATGAAGAGACAGAATGTGTTTTGGAGAACCAAAATACGAAAATGATTGAAAAGAGCAACATAATAGAGAATTGACTCAAACTCTTCTTCTACTGCTTCTTTGTTCCCTAAAACAAACCAAGAAAAACAGAACTGTCAACAACCCCATTGCACAATTGCTTTGTGAAAGCTTGAATACTTGGCCTCCATCTCATTCATAAAAAGTTTCGGAACTCCACTGAACCTTATGACAATCCACTTGCAGTTGCAGCTTCCTTTGTTAAGAAGTTGGGCGTACAGAAAGATATGAACAAGCATTGACGTCATATTACACATGAAAACAGAATGATATTTTTTGAAGTAGTAGGATGACATCTTACTTTAATGGTACTACTTCTAGACTTTAGTAACACGAAGTATCCATAGTCATCTGAATTTCAAGGAATTGGTTGTTTTTCCGTCAGAAATCAAATTCAGACCTTAATAAAATAGATTTTTGCTTTTCTTTTTTCACCTTTAAATTACAGAAAACTATATAGATAGTCCAATCCACATTCCTTCGTACAATAAACAGACTTTCCCAACATGATATTTCATGTTCATCAGAAGTTACCTTCAGATTATCCTCAGGCTAAGGGTGTACATATATTTGCAATTAGCAGCAAAACCAAAGCATGAACATTAGCAAAAGTAGATTAACCTTAACAAAGCAACCTCGCCTATTGTCCCCTACAGCAAAGTTAAACACTTGCAGTGTTTTAAAACCACAAACAACATTTAACAAAAGTGAATGATTAAAAGTAAAAAAAACGGCACAGAATGATGTGGACTACTTGACTGGAAATCCATTGCCAAATGATATTCTATTATATGTTGTGATGAAAAGCGCGGTTCAATGAACAATAATCACACTTCTGTTAAAAATTGACTGTAACTATTAGGCAACAAAAACAGAGCACCAAAAATATTTACCTGTATACTGACACGCCTTCTCTCGCCACTTCGAAGACCTTTCATGTAGCAGTGTCCACCAATTAGTTTATTAGCATAATCTCCCAGTGACGTAGAATCAATAGCATCATCCACCACACTCCTTTTCTGACAAAGAAAACCAGGAAGCTGAAGCAATGCTGAGTAGTAGAGGAATTCACGGATTGTCAATGTTCCAATAAGAGTAGTTTTTCTGTCAACAAATACCTGCAGGCAAAAAGTTCCATATCAAAAGGCAGAGCTCATGATAAAGAATAGCTAAGTTCCTCATCCAAAAATATTTACCCGTATATCATCCAGGCACAAAAAAGAGAAACAATTTAACGGACAATAACATGTGATTTGAGACATTTATACAGATGATGAGAGTAGATGAAAAGGTTTTGGAAGAAGGATAATGAAACTTCATAACCGTTGCAGAAGAGAAGTGGAGTAGATGAGCGTTTCTGAATAATTAAATTAGGGCTGTTAGGAAATTAATATTTAACTAATATATTTAATAAATTAATATATAAATGATATTGTAGGGTTAAAACGGTAAATCAACTTTGGGGTTAATAGGTTTAACTAATATAGGGTTAATAGGTTTAACTAATATATTTAATAAATTAATATATAAATGATATTGTAGGGTTAAAACGGTAAATCAACTTTGGGGTTAAGAGGTTCATGCTTATAATAATATATGATTATGATTTTCAAGATACATTTACTCTAGTTTTAGAGTATTTTTTTAACTGTTTTAAGATATTTCTACTCAATTTTTAGAGTGTTTCTCTAAATTCTCATTTATTTTGACTTTAATTTTCAATATACTTTGGTTTTATTTTCAATGTGGATTGTTTTATACATTTCTCATTAATAATTTGATACAAAAGTGTCATACTATTAAATATGAAATGCATTCATGCATACACAAACAAAATTCATTCTTTTTCGGTAATTGTTCTTAGTTGTTGATCCATTGGATACTTAATCACTGTAATGTATATTTTAAATCTTTGTCTACTTGATAACTTGATTTATAACTATTGTGATACATTCATTGATACACTTTATTTCAATATACGCACAACTTTTTCACAACCATATCATATCAGATACATTATTTTAACTAATAAATCATACACTATATAAAAAGTGGATCGGATACATAATGTGTTGTACCATATTTACAAATTCTTATATATATTTTCAATGTTTACAAATTATTTTCAATCAGAAATGTACATAAGGCTAAAAATACTAACATGTCAATTTATTGCATAAAAAATTCATCATCTAATAGCAAGTTGTAGTGTATATCAATGTAATAGTGGAAAATCTAAAAGCCAAAAATCTTTAATCTCAAAATAATATATTTGAAACATAATAATAATAAAAAAAAATTGTCAGTCAACTTTTAGGAAAAAAGTACAACTTCTTCGGTTGTAACCTTCTAGTCCACAACATCACAACAGTTTGTGTTTGTTCTTAAGTCTTCATCTCAATTTTTTTCCTTCTTTTTCTTGATCGTCAAGACATCCTTTTGTACCTAGGTGGCTAGAAAATTTCTTCCAAAATAATTTTTGAACAAACTAATTGTCCTTATCTGAGATTGGAACCATTGCACTCATATATACTTGTTAATGCATCTGGTTTGTAGTAATTGAAGTAGTAGACATGCATATATATAACATTTTTTCTCTTCAAAAGAGTAATTGTGTGTGCACGAGATATCTGGTCATGCTAAAATATCCCACAGTTACATATTTCTCTCATGACAAATAATGTATCTTCGCCTATATATTGAAGTGTCTCACTTTGAATCTATCCAGTTGTTTCTTAATAGATTCCTTCAATCTACAAGAACAGTCATCTAATAAAAACAATAATACATAATTACAATTTTACCTGATACATTAGATAATCTATTATTTCATGTATCACAAAAAAAAACTAATATACATGCTAAAGTGAATAATAGATACATTAAAAATATCTTCTCTTCCATACTGATACATTAAAAAAAATCACATACTAATACATTTTTTGAAAAAAAAAGAAGAGAAGTTCACATGTATCTGATACGTTATAATAATAATACATTGACTCACAACTCTTAAACCCATTAGAATACCAGTAATGTATCATGACTTATACATCTATACACAAATTCAAATATCAACAATGAGATTCACATATATCTCATACTTTATATTAACAACAAACTAACTCAGAGATCCGAAAATGCATTACATATACGTTAATTTAGTAATGTATCAAGTTACAATCAATAATATATCATGACTTATATATTAATATAAAAGTTTTAAAATAAAAAAAAGTAAAAATTTAAGGAATCCCATAGTGTAATTCAATAATTACATTATGTCCCGATAAATTTAGTATTTACAAAAAATCCCTTAAATTTGTTGTTCTGTGATACTTTAGACTCTAGTGATACATGGTAAATGATACATGGTAAGTTTAAACTGTTGATAAAAAATGGGGAAAAAACGGTACAATTAATGTTGTTACTAAAACAGCTTAATTTAAGGTAACAGATCATTAATCACCATAAAAGCAGCACGTAATTGGATATTAATTTCAAATTTTGAAAATCAAAGATTATATCATCTATTTTGAAGTCTATTTATCTTTTCAATCTGGCTTCTTTAAATAATTGTTGATCATTTCTAAGAATCCTTTGAAATCCTTAAAGTACACTACGGTCAATTTGACAATAAGAATATATAATATTTCTCTTTAGTTATAATTGAATATTGGGGTTTCTCGCTGTAATTTTATGTATGTTATGCTTGGTTGAATATCTGTCTTTTTTTTGTGAACGATGCACTCTATTCATCCAATAGTGTTCAATACAAAACAAATAGATGATAATTATCTATACTCTTATCAATTACAAAAAGTCTATACATGCTACAACTACAAAACACGAGAAACAATCTTACATAGTGAATAAAAAGACAATACAATAAGTTCTCTAACTACAAGACCTAAGGGTATGAATTTGAAGCAAGTAAAGGTCTTTGGAAGCTGAAGATGCTTTTGCCTCTGGTGTTTATATGCAGTACAGTTTCCTTGCATAATCAGTCTGCTGAAGATACTCCTCCCCCCTGGAATCTGATCACATTCTTTTCCTTTAGGAAATTGTTGTTAAAATTGACAACAAACATTATGGGATGTCTTGGTATCTTTTTAATCTTGTACTTCATTGGCTGCAATTTGAAATTAAAACAACAAATTATAACGATATTGAAATATAAATACTAAATAAAACAACTAATAACTTACTGATACATGGTTTCAGTTTTCAGAAATTCATACTACATGAAAAACATGTGATACATGTCTACTACATGTATCAGTGAATTAACTAAAACATTATAACATGTGATACATATCTAATACATGTATCAGAAACATCTACTAAACAATATACACACTGATTCTCTATGTATCATCAAGTACAGTTGATGACGCATTTATTAAATTTAGTGAATGATACATTATAACAATTTTCAAAACATGTATCAGTACATCAACTAAACAACTAATACCTTACTGATACATGATATCAGTTTTCAGGAATTCATACTACATGCAAAACATGTGATACATATCTACTACATGTATCAATGCATTGACTAAAGCACTGATTCTATATGTATCCTCAAGCCCAGTTGATGACGCATTATTGAATGATACATTATAATAATTTTAAAAACCTCATGATACATATAAAATATTATGATACACAACAAATTCATGTATCCGTGATATTGTTAAATCCCAGATTTAACTCTTTCAAACTGCTGAGTGCTGCAGATATAAAACGGTTGGCTAACAATGTGGAATGGTTTTGCTTTAGTCAGTTCTTTTTGGCAGATAACAAATGTCTTCCACTTACCCAAAAACTTCTCGCATCCATCATCTAAAAGGTGAGATCTATTGACAGTTTAGCGACTTCAATGAAGTGAGAGCTGCATTAGGATAAACGAACTATCAGAAACTTCAACAACGTGATGGAATCCCAGAATAGAGAAGTAATTCCCCGAAAAATTCTCTTTTACTTCATAAAGTTTGTCCCGCAAACTAGGCCTAGTAAGATAACATGGAAATTAAAATAGTAAAAGCAGACCTGTGAGGTAATCCAAACATGACGCAGTAACAACAGACCCTTCCAAGTTTAGCACGTCTAGTTTGTACAGATCTGTAAAAGAATGAAATATTATCAAATCCAGATTACATCTTAACATAGAACAAAAAGGAAATGTTAACTTTACGAAAAGAAGCCGAAGAGACTATTAATTGAGCTTCTTACAGCCAGAGTCTTTGTTTGAATCCATCTGAAGATTCATAGGATCATGCAAAAAGAACTTAAACTTGATGGAGAACAAAACGGTAGAAGTTAAGAGAAGTTGTCCTGCTTCCTGAAATTTTTACTTTTTTAAATTTCAAATTTTTTGAATTTTGAAATTCAAAATTTCAAAATTTGGTCTTTTATTTAAAATTAATTAAATTTAATAATTCAAAATCAAAAAGCTGATTTAAAAGGTTGAGTGTTAAAATGGATAAAATTCAAAATTCAAAAACTGATTTAAGAGGTTGAGTGTTTTAATGGAGAAAAAATAGGCATTAAAATGGGTAAATGTGTATTATAGGAGAGAGAATGTAATGTATCTAAAAACTTACACTAAAATTAAAAAAAAGGAAATTATGTAATATTTAAAAAAGGTGGGAAAAATTAGAGAATATAAAAATTATAGTTGTGTATTTAAGTTATTTTTCCAATGAAATGATTAAAGCACAATAATATGTGTCTTTATCATCAGATCTTGTAACTTGAAAATTAAAGTTATGTTCTATTTTGTGTTTTGTTATTACAACCACTGGAGTAGTGTTTATCCTTGTACAATTGTTCCACCTTCACTTCTATACTATTTGTATCAGCTATGTAATTTGTTATCTATATTTTTTGTATATAACACGAATCACCAATTTTTGATTCTAGCCATATGTGTCCTTTTTAACTCATACAATTGCACCAGTTGATGCATCAAAGTTTTGTATCTCGGCAACATTCTTATCTGGAGTATCAATACAGAGGGGGATACATAGCAAATTCAACCTTACATTTCTTAACCTCCGCGTACAATTTTACCCCCATATATCATTCCTAATAATTAGTGGAGAAAATTACCTTTTACAATATGTCATGTCTCGATTTTTTTGGTCAATTCATCAATATTCAACCCAGCTGCAAAGGCTGAACCCCGATTTAAAAATAAAATATTTTTTCGAATTACTATCTCATCACTCCTGTATCGTTCATAACTAACCTCACTTTCTCATATTTTTGAATGCCTCTACAAAATCAAAAGAGTCATTATCTTATCAAATTTTTGGCAAAATTTTTAATTCTAGTTGAAAGTTTCTTCGTCGAAACAGAGACATAATGATGAATAGGGATTTCAAATTTTGAATTGGTTTTTTATTCTAGGATTTATGTTTAACTGTTTGACTGTAAGAAGGGACTGAGCAAAATAAATTATGGGATTCTAATTTGATTTTCTGTTTTGTTGCATATATATAATATATCACAATTAACATATCCAAATTGTCAGATATGTATCTAGAAAGTGTAAAATTTAATTTAAGGGATTAATGTAACTATAAAAAAATAGAAATAAGATGTTATTTCATAATTACACTATGGAATTCTTAATTTTTTTTTTTACATATTTTAATGGACCTACTTTGGAGGTGACACCTTGGACGATTCGGGTTACATCTTGGACCACTTTGGCGGCACTTTCTATAGGTTTTTCTTTCCTCTTTTCATTAGTTTAATTCTTGTACGAATTCTTCAATCCATACCATCGCTATTCGATTGATTAGCGGCTAGAAACTCTCGTTCTAGAATTGAGGTTACAGAACATGATTGACATTATTTTGTGTTGGTTACTGTACGTTTATCATTATTGGTGTCTTTTACGTTGTTTCTCTTGTTACTTTAATGCTTAATTATCACGAAAGTTCATGTATAAACCTTTTATGAACTCGGATGACAGAGCCTTTTGTTGAAACATATAGCATAAGGAATGTGTTCTAATTTCTCAGTTCCAACTAGAATAGGGATAGATTCGCTTCTAGGATATTGATGTACCTACATTGTCTTAGTTGGTTCAAATACAGAAAGATAACTTTATATGTTGTGATTGATTGACCTATCTCACTTCAGCAATATAGTTAGATCTCTCATTTTAATAAAAAGTTAAAGGTCCGGTAAACCATAATCATATTATCAATCCTATGTATCAACAACTAGGACATATAATTTAGTTAATTAACAACCACGTACTCTTAAGTGTGTCTTTAAATGCAACCAAAAAACATCAACATTATATAGGAAATTTTTTTATTATTTGTCGGTGGTGTATATAATGCTATCTACACAAGATTTTTTCAGGATCACAATAGATGTTTCAACTATTGTCAACTATGATACAACTGTCTCCCATATTTCAAAGTTCTATATTTATTTAAAAAACTAATCTTGCGCATTTTAGGTAAGATTAACTTTGAAGAAAAAAACAAAAATAGTATCTTCTTGATATTTTACAAGAGACACTCATTTTGGAGTATATTAAAAAAGCTAAATATCTAAGAAATGAAGAAAGTATAATATTGCGTCTTTCACAAAATGAAAATTTCACAGAGCTCACTACCTGATTCCACTTATAAATAAGAAAATATAAATAGTTGGGAAGCGATACTATAACTAAACTATGAATTAAAATGCTCCACAATCGCATATTAATTTTGTAAGTAATTGTTCAATTATAGAAAAATTAATAAAATTAAAATGATATTTAGTTTTCTAGGAAAGGAGTCGTAAAAAATGATCTTTTTCATCGATCTCCTATATTAATTAGATATTTTTTTCTCTATTTAATCTAAGTTCCAAAACATATCTAATTTATGTTACAAACAAATGTGTATCTGCCACGAACTATTTGTTTTCATTAAGATTGAATCCAATGCTAAAAAAATAAAAAACAATAAGAACCCACGAGTCCTCTCTATCAATTAGTTTTATTTTTAAGGAAATGGAAAGAATAAGTATTCATTTTGTTTTTTTAGTGAAACTAACAGATTCCCAATTGATTATTTATTTAGAAAAATTGGTGGATTATAAAGAATATTATTGAAGAGTTTGTAAGATCTAGTAGTAGAAGTGTTCTATGTCACAAAATAAATATTAGGGTTCAATTCTGTAATATATATATATATATATATATATATATATATATAAATTGATAAATCAATGGAGATATTTGCTTTTTTCCTTTTATTTTTATTTTTTAAAAAAAATGAACTATGGTTACTTTGTTGGAAAAATATGTTAGCATCTCAACAAAAGTTTATATCATTGCATAAATTCATTTCAGTATAAGTTAATTATTCTAACATATTATTAATGACTATTGAATGTCCTTATTAGTCTTATTTGACCTTTCTCCTAACATATTGTATATATCATTACTTTCCTAATTGTAACATATTTGTTATTTAGACATCATTCATCTTAATTAGCCATTAATCTTATTGGTAATCATTTTCTTTATTGGTATAACTTACATAAATCACATAGTATAAGAACATAAATTATATTTTATCCCTACTCTTTTTTAATTTACAAAAATCTCTCACATTCAATGTTATTCGGATACATAGCAAAGAAGCCAGATACATTAAATCTGATATATTAAAACAAAATGAGTTACACTTTCAAAGGAAAGAGAATACTCAATTAAATATGAGTTCTCCAAATCACGCTAATCTAGTTGATTTCAATATCTTCCAAATCTTAATAGATTCAATCAAATAAAAATTCAAAATTTCTCTCTCAATAATCAAAATTCAAATTTTCTTCTTCCAATTTTCTTGCAATCACGTCAAGCAGGCCGTTACCCAAAGTTTCCAACAGAACCAACAAAAAGATAGTTAAAGCAAAAATAAAACAAAGAACTATGATGGACCATCTTTCAAAGATGACGAAATATAGATGTCTAACTCCGAAAGTTGTTGATAAAAACTTAAGAAACAAAATCAACAGAGAAGGAAGTTGAGATATTTACCAAATTTGCTCCACTCATGGGGTTCTCCATCTAGTTGAACTTTCTGATGTACATGTCTTCATGTTGGTTCAATATTTATGGCTATATTTGTTTTTTCAAGCCACATGAGTTTGAACTATCCTTCTTTGTCATTACGGGTTTTCTTCAGCAAAAAAAGATCTGATATTTAGGAATTAATCTATAAAATATGAGCCTGAATTTGTAATATATAAATTATATCAGAGCTTTAATTTCATTTATATAGTTAAATAGATGTGACAGTCGCAAGTATAAAATTACATATATTGTTGTTAATTTAATTTTTAATTTGTGTTTCGAGATGACTACATTAATCGTAATACATTAATATTTATGTATCATGTATAAATTGATAAGTATTATGTTCCTATTAATTAGATACATTAAATAAGTAATTTTGTACGTAAAGTGTTTGCTTAGAGTGTGACACATTATTGTGTGTATTAATTTAAATTATTGTATCATGATAAAATATTTAGCATGATACATTACTATTTTTGTATCTTATTGTGTGTATGAAATACTATTAATAAAGTAATTTGTTGTAAAAGTATCAAAATGTACAAAAGTGAGGGTATGTATCAAATTATATCTATATTTTGTACATGATATTAAGTATAAGTTAGTTGTATGATTGTTTGTAATAGATACATATAAATATCTATTTTATCGAATGTATCACTATTTTTTTAATGTTAGCAGGTTGTTACATTATCAGAGTATCTTTATTTAGTCTATAATTCTGAAAAAAGATACATTGTTTGACTTAAAAGATAAATATGTAAATGTGGAAGATTTCAAGTTGATAAGATACATTCTTTATATAATATATCAGTTTATAGTTGATAACAATGTATCTTATACAATATGGTTGTGAAGGAATACATAAGCTAAAGTAAAGTGTATCTATAAATGTATCACTTTGTAGGTGATAATCTTATTTGATACAATATGATTATCAACTTTTATGTATTTATGTATCATGCCCATAAAATTGTTCATGATACATTACTATTTATAACGTTAATTGTAGTGTAAATAGATCTGTTTATGGAATTACATGTATTGTGTTGTCTAGTAAATTTTTAAATTTATAATCTCCGAATGGATATATTACTCATGATACATTACTATTTCTAAAATATTAAGTAGATTAATAAGTACTATAATATTTTTTAAAATGATCTTTCATTTATTCCCAAAAAAATATCAATTTTTAAATTAAACTTGTCAATAAATTGTACTAATACAACATGAATGAATCAACAACTAACTATAAATAAGTTATCAAGTATCTACATGACTGAATGAACAATCAAGTTATCGAGTACGCTGATGTTTCAGTAAAGAGACCGGAAGTAATAGATTCAATAATTTTTAAGATGAAAAAACTAGACAAAAATTAAAGATATAAAATTTGAAGTAACGAAAAGAAATCTAACTCTGGAAGAACTTTGAAATCATTAATTGAAAAGAGAAAAGATATAAAATTCAAAAATGAATTAATAGAGGTAATTGTGGAGAGATTTGTAACGTGAAAAAAAATGAAGGAAAAATCATGGGTATTAGATTTTTAATTAATGTATCCAAAAAAGGAGACGATAGAAAAAAGAAGAAGAGATTTTTGATAATTTTTTAAATGGTAGAGAAAATAAGAAAATATGATGATAAATGATGTGTAGTTTAGGTAATTCTGCATTTCTCTATTCCATTCCTGCAAATTTTCAGACCATTCAGGAAGTTGCAAGAATAACATACGCCCGATATTTTTGGCTATTATCAATGCAGGTAATAGAATATATTTTCGAAGAATTGATTGAGTTATTACATGTAACCTCTTATTATTTGTGCCAAAGAAATGGCATCCCAGGCTTCTTCGATCGCTATCCGTGCTCTTTTGTTATCCTCTTTTTTGTCCTTTTCTTTTTTCTCTTCTCTTTTTGTTTGTTCTTCTCTAGACTCTAGAATCTTGAATTCTCCCTCTTTATCTGTCCAATTTTTCAAAATTGATTTAATTAGTTCAGAGATATCAAAAGAAAAACGACGTAGGGGGGTTATTCTGTCGACAAAAAGGGGGGAATGTACATTTGCTTGAAATAGTTTCGAAATAAATGTTTTGCGCCTTTGAGCCCGCATAGAGCCTGTAATTATACCTCGCTCCTTTTTGGCATTGGATATCTTTAGCCAAATTATGCTATAATCTTTCACCTATATATATTCGAAAAGTTCTATTTTTTTTTGGAGAGAGAAAAAGTTCCAAGAACGCATAAATTTATCCTCCCCTACTGTGTTTCATTTTTATTGAATCTTAGTTAGATCCTGGCCCTTAGTTTCATATCAAAAGAGCTTGTCGATTCATTAGAACAGTATCTTTTCGCACATATATATGTGATGAAAATAGTTTTCGTAAGATTTCCTACATTCTTAAAGAATATTTTAAAACTTATTCCTGCAGAAAATCAATTACTACACAAATACGGAAGAGTAGATATAAAAAGGGGTCTGTTTGGGTTGAGTTGTGATAATTCAAAGTTTTGTTGTCTTTGCTGTCTAAGGAATTAGCACAGAATTGAACTTATTTGTGGGGGTTGTGTCAAGGTTAGTTGTGCAACTTCAATGCGAGGTGAAGCCTTTTGCATTCATCTTAATATAAGGTATGTGACACTATTATATCTCTACCATTTTAATATATATTTGTATGGCAAATAGTCAATATACCTTTTAATGTTAAAGATGATTTAGATAAATGATAATTTCATTAAGTAAAAATAAATTTAACTAAATAGATGATATATTTATGTGTTCATTCCTCAAGTGAATCTTGTAGCTAATATGTAAAAGATGGGGTGTTAGATTTTGGTGGTAGCTAGATTGTTTTTGAGTTCTACACATAGTCGCGGATCCAACTCTCTAGATGGGGTTGCGCGTGCAATTGTTAACTTTAAAAGTCATGTATATATATATATATATATATGATAAATTGACAGAAATTAGTGTATAATTAACAGCGCACCCATGAAAAGCATATGAGAGTCATTGTGCTATAGGTATACAAGCTAGAGAATCCACCCGCGAAACTTAGATTTGAATCTAGCCAAAGTGTTTATTTTACTGCTTTTATTCTAAGTTTATCTTAGAGCTCATATTTGAGCTAAGGTAATATTGATGTACACAAACTCTTTAAATCCTGATTGTGTACACCCAAATTGAAGAAGAAGAATATGCATGTGTTGCTTATTCTATAACTACTGAAGTTCTTCGAATGTAAAAAGATCTTCCTATTAAACTCACATATAAATATTGGTATTATCTAGGTGGTTACTTGATATTAGTATTTGTGCAAGCTAATTTATATGAAATTGTGAAAAAAGATTGAATAAAGATTTTATTTGAGTTTGGCAAGATGTTGATAAAAATTATAACACTTCTGTGGATAATGAGTTTGATTTTTTGTTTCTGCTTAATATTTCTAAGTGATAGATGAAAAAGTTGCGTTAGAATTATGCTTTTAAATATATTTTATATTAAGAAGGCGCAATGTTTTAACTTTACTTTTTGAATATTTTTAAGTATAAAACTTGTGATGAAATTAAGTATATTAAGATATTACATGTTCGTGGTTATATAATATCTAAATTATTAGAATAAATTTTGGATGCCGAGTGTTTTGTTAACTAATACAACTTTAAGACATTTTTTTTGTATCATGATGTAATGGTTCATTGTATTGTAACTGTTATTGATGTCTCAGCATGCTTAGATGGTTCCACAGAAAATTAAGATGTTGCATTATATGAAAGCTTTGTGACATTGGTGAAAAGTGACACTTTTTAGTTGGTCTGAGAAACCATGGACTATTCACTTTATATCCTTCCATTTTGAAATTGCTCATGTGACTAGGCATTGTTGTATGATTGAAATATTTGATTAGGAGGAATAATGTGGCAGGTACTTGTATTTGGCTCCGTTGGTAAGTTGAACCCTTATACTAATAAGGGATCTGCAAAATCGAACCAAACTGCAAATCGAGTCAAATTGGAAAAAAACACGACTAGTGCTTGGTTGACATTACAAAAAATACCAACTATATTTGGATTGGTTTGATTTTAACTAAAAAAAATTAACCCGACACCAAATCAACCCGTATTATATGTATAATTTAAAAATTTTATTTTATACATAAAACTATTAACGTTGATATAATTTTTAAATACTTCTTATAGTTTTTCATAGCTTTTATCTTTCAATGTATTATTTCAAGTTTGAAACTTAAAATTTCGAATGATTCAACAAAGATAATAGTCCATAGATGTTGGTAATTATAATACAACTTAAATTTAAAATCAAATTAATACTACTGCAAATATAAAATCAATTCAACAAATGACAATAATATTGAATATTTATTCTTTGGTTTTACATTGGCTTAGACAATTCAAATACATAATCTAATTTTAATTTTCTTTAATATTTATTCATTTAACAAATACTTATTAACCTTATTTTACGTGAGTTAGTACTTTTAAATTATGATCATTGTCATCATGACTTGTTAATTTACAATATTTATTTTATGCGATTTCATCATCATTATTATTTTGTTCGATATTTTAGTGTCATTTATCATATCATATTTTGTGTTATTTTCTTAAGAAACACCTTAGATAGTTGTATTTTGGTAGGACTAAAGAAATATATGAAGTACAAATAAATTATATTTCTGTATGAATACTTTATCGGAAAAAACCCAAAAAAACCCTGGAAATTCAAAAAACCCGAATAAAATCCGAATAACCCGAGGTTGAAAAATTCAAATTTTATTGGTTTGGATTGGTTTATACATTTAAAAATTCGACAAAAATAGTTTGATTTGATATTTAAAAAACACGAACTAAACTGGTCATGTACATCCCTAATACTAATTATTTTATCAACTAAACCCTTAAATTCATTAAAACACAATAGCCTCTTTCTCATCTTATGCATGTGCGTATGGTACACTCATTTGCACGTGAAATTTCCCGTTATTTTTATTGACGCATAAGAAATTAAATATTAAACAAATAAAATAAAAATAAAGACGTACTTTGGCAAATGCAGGAAATTCTGAACATTATTTTTGAAGGAACTATATGTAAGGCAAATCAACATCTAGATGTGTACCTTATAATTTGCAGTGGAAGTCGTTGATTTTTCTTCTTTGGCAGGATTGCACTCATGTCTGCTTTAAATCACTAGGAAACAAAGATCTTTGTTCACAAACTAGAAGTCTTCTTTGTGTGTTGATTAATTTGTCTAGGATCGCTAGTTTTTCCTCTACACTTTTGTTTCTCACGTTTCCTCTCCAGCAATCTTCACGTTTTCATGTTCAGTTCAAAATACTCCCACTTGGAGTCTTTGAAGGAGAGGTTGAACATTTACTATGTAAATGTTCTGCCTTATCTTTTTAAAAGAAATTATCTAAATTAATTAATTGGATAATGCATAAAGCATATCGGGTCGGGTCGGTTCACATACCCATGACGAAAAACTTATATCTCCCACTTCGCCCATGGTGGACAAGACCTAAGTCACCATTGTATCAATCAGACAAACAATTCATATGAAAAATAGTTCATGCGACTGGTGAGTAGGAAGAGCTTACCTTTAAGGTTTTACAAGCCCTACATAAGAATCCAATCACTTGATGAAAGAATTCACTACTATTTAAAAGACACTATCACTCATAATACCCTAGACGTTATTCACTACTTCAGTAGTAACTTATTCGATCCCTCATCTCTTAAAGAGGTGAACTCGAGTTCATGTTTGACTTTACACACACAATCACACTAGAGTGTAATAGCCAACTTATGTATAAAAGTTGAATTGTTCATTTAATCATCTTCCATTTCTACTCGAATCTATCTATTCCATATCAAGTGTTTTCCTAGACATGTACTGCATTACTGAATCGCTCATGGTTGTTAGTAACATTCTAAAGTAGCAACATGGATTTGAAACTTTCAATTAACAACAATAGGTCAAAGGGTATTTTACTGAAAAGTCATTTTATCTTTTATGGGTCTCACACAATGAAAAAGCAGGGAATATTCTTTCATGACCTATTGATGGATTGACATACGTGGTATGAAACATGTGCTACGATGTTTACACCTTATATTGGTGTATGTATCTCATTTTTTTCATACAATATCGTACAGACCTTGGTCTAAACACCTCTAGATGTTTAACCCTAATTTTTCTCTTCTCTTCAGTGATCCTTAAACTCATTTTCTTGGAGAATTCTTTTTTTTTTGATCACAAAACAAGGTATATAATGCTGGTAAAACTCATCACTTCACGTTTCCCGATGTAAGAGGTGATTGCTCGTCTGAAAGAGTCAATCTCCCAACTTGTTTTACACACCTTATATCTTACAAATTATCACATGTATACGTAATCTTAATATAAATTCTATAGTTTTATATAGAAGAGAATATCATAACAATAAATTCATTTTACAACACTGAAATATCATCATACTCTACGTAAACCTACAGACTTAACATGCTTTTCAAACAAGTCTCTAGAGATGATCTTTGTAAAAGGATCAACTATCTTTTCACGTATAATTATGTATTACAAAATTATTTCTCCAATTGCCACAACATTTCTCATAAAGTTATACTTGATATTGATGTGTTTGGTCTTGTTGTGATACTAGGGTCCTTTGTGTATGTAATAGTCATTTGACTATCACAATATAGCATCATGGGGCCCTTAGAATTTTTACAATACTCAAATGCTTAAAGAGTCTCTTTAACAAAACAACTTCTTGTATGGCAAATGCACAATCCACAAATTCAAATTTCATGATTGAAAGAGCCATGCAAGTTTGCTTTTTTACTTCTCTATGAAATATCACCACCATTTAGTAAGAAAATATAGCCGGATGTTGAATTTCTATCAGCCCGATCACCAGCCCAATCAGTATTTGTATAACCTCTTATAAATAAATAAGATTCACATAGCATAGTGTATGATCTGCAGTTCGCTTCAGGTGTCAAAATTCTCTTTATTGCTTTCCAATGATCTTTTCTAAAATTGGATTGATACCTGCTAACTAAACTCACGACATTAAAAATGTCTGGCGAGTACAATCATGGCATACATCAAACTCCCGATAACACTAGAATAAGAAACTTGAGACATGTCTTTCTTTTCTTTTTCAGTCTTTGAACACATTTCAAGGATTAAAGTTTCTCCCTTAGCTACGGGAGTATCAATGAATTTGTAACTATTTATTTGAAAATGTTCCAATATTTTCTTTTTATAAGTTTTTTGAGATAAACTCAATTTTTTCATGGAACGATCTCTTTGGATGTTGACATCCAATATACAGTCCGTTTCACCCATATCTTTCATGTTAAGTGATTTTTAAAGTCATGACTTGATAGTTTTACATACTCCAAATTATTTCCAACTAATAAAATGTAATCTATGTAAAGAGTTCCATTGGAATTTTTCACATAGATGCAATGGTATTCATCGATCATGGTAAAATCAAATGAAATCACCTCCTCATGAAATCTGAAATGTCATGGCTTGAAGATTACTTTAGGCCATAAATTGATCTTCTAATGTACATACTTTATTTTTTTGACCTTTAACAACAAAACCTACTGGTTGTTCCATTTCCTAGTTTAATTCTCAATTGAGAAAAGTGGTCTTCACATCCATTTGGTGTAATTCTTGATCTAAATGTGCAACAATTGTTAAAGGTAATCGTATGGAAGTAAACTTCACAACTAGTGAAAAAGTTTGTTCATAATCCATTCCAACTTTCTGAGTAAAACCTTTTTGCAATCAAACGTGCTTTGTGTCTTTCTACTGACCCATCCTATTTGCGTTTAACTAATCCATTTATCCCCAATAGCTTTATGTTCCTTGGGATGGTCAACTAGATCCCGAACTTTATTGGTTTTCATGGACCAAAATTATCGTACAATCAATTTTCAGATCGTTATTAAATAGAATTTTTTTTTTAAAAAAATAAATGTAGAATTTCTTTATTAGTAGGACAAGTAATCCTATCTATTTCATGAGTCACAATCAAATAGGGTTCTGAATCCTATTTACCATATAGTTAATCACATTCAAGCGTCCAACAAAAATTAACATCTTCCAATTTTTTTAAATTCACTATTTTTTTCTAAAAGATAGTCTCAATTTTATTATTCATCAACATACACAGTAAATATACAAGGAAGACGCACATAATTAGATCAATAATGATCGCTCTGATACCATTGGAGGAATTATAAGGTGAATCAATATCTATATGTACCTTGTAATTAGCAGCGAAAGTAATTGATTTTGCTTCTTTTACAAGATTGCACTCAAGCCCTTTTTGAATCACCAAGAAACAAGATGTTTGTTCACAAACTAGAAGTCTTCTTTATGTGTATGATTAATATGTCTAGGATCACTAGTTTTTCCTTTACTATGTTGTTTCTCACGTTTTCTCTCCGGACTTTTCACGTTTTCATGTTCAATTCAGTATACTCCCACTTGGAGTCTTTTAAGGAGAAATTGAACAGTTACTATGTAATTTTTTTTGCCTTATCCTTTTAAAAGGAATTATCTAAATTAATTAATTAATCAGTTAGATAAGAAATAAAATAAATCGGATCGGGTCGATCCATATGGGCGACCCACGACCCAAAACTTACAATTTATTCCTTTTATCTTTCACTCAAATCGAGCATCAAATCAATGTCAAATGGGTGGAATTCTTACATGTTTGACTTGAAATTCACACTATTAGTTCACTAACACAAATGTAGAAAATCTACATGGCTATTTTAAATTTATTTCATAAATTGACGATATCTACTTTGTTATTCTTAAAGATTCATCAAGCTTATCAGTGAAATTTTTTATTTTTTAATACCCAAAATAACCAAGGAATACACACGAAATTTAGAATTTGAAAGAAGAAATACGACAAAACCAAAAAAAAGACTAGGATTGACGTTGATTTGCCACAAAAAAAGAAGAATTTTGAGAAAGTATTTTGGGGTGGGACAGTGGGTGGGAGGGGATGGGGGTGGGGGGGCATTAATAAGAAGAAGGGATATGGTGGGTGGATCCAAAGAAGTAGGGATATGAAAATTTGGTTGGGTTGAGTGGTTTTATGGGAAAGGGAGGGGGGTGGGGGTGACTTTGAAG